TTATTTGGATCAGCTATACATCTGACGGACTAGTGAGACTATACTACCAGTATTACAATGGGTATGAGAGATGATAATCGTTACAGATATAGCTCCTGTACATATGACCGGTAGTAAAGCTTTGGCAAAAAATTATAGACCAGTTGCTCTAACATTACCCCTATAATAACAGTTTTTGAAAGAGTGATTAGGAATCAAATCTCCAATTTTATGGAAAACAATGAACTTCACAACTCAGGTCAACATGGATTTAGAGCAGGAAGGTCGTGTCTGTCACAGTTAATAAACCAAGATGACAAAAATCACAGAAGGTTTAGAAGAAAAATAAAATGCAGATGTTGTCTACACAGACGGTACAAAGACATTCAAGAAATGTAACCAAGAAGTGATAGCCCATAAAATGAGACCAATCGAAATAACGGGTAAAGTGGGACATTGGATTTTCAACTTTCTGTCAAAAAAGAATGCAAAAAGTAAAAGTTAATCAAATAAGATCAAGTCCAAATACAGTGAAAAGCTATGTACCCCGGGGCATAATCCTTGCACCACTCTCATTCAAATCTCGAATGTAGAGAAAAATACTTGTCACAGCTTCGTGTCATCTATTGAAGATTACAAAATTAGCATGAAAATTTACTTTGCAAAAGACATTGAAAAACTACAAGCTGATATATATAAAGTCCTCGATTGGGCAACTGAAAATAACATGAGGTTTAACGATGATAAATTCCAGGTACTTAGGTATAGTGGAAATGAGGAACTTAAACGAAACACAGGGTACAGGATACAATCAGACCTACTCATAGATGGAAAGCAACAAGTAAAAGATATGGGAATTATGATATTTAACGACCTGACAATTAGTGAACATAACCGTGCAAATATAGCAGCGGATAGGAAAACTTTGAATGACAAGATATTATCCCTCTTGTGTTTTTAAATATTCTGGTAGCTAGTTGTAGTGCCGCTGGCTTTGTGTGGAGGTCAGCCAGTTGTTTAACCTGACACTGACAGTCTGTGTGCAAATATTATTTCTATAAAACCTACATGCTGCTGCAGTCCGTCCAGTAGAGGATTGGACTGAGCCGTCGGGGTAGACACAGTGCTCGTGAGATCTGAGATTTTTTATGGAGGAGGCAATTGTTTCAAGTGTGAGAGCTTTGAGAAGAGCAAGATTCTCATTACCTTTCTTGGTGACGGATGTGTATGATACTGGAATGGTGGGGTAGAGATAAATAGGAATATCAGTGATAGGTAGATTACATTTAAAAGGAATCTACAGCTGGTTGAGATTGTAGGCATTTTTCATTAGCCATTTATCATGAAAGGAGTGAGTTGTTATGTTGGCACCAGCCATTAAGGTGTTAACAGCACTGAATAATATGTTCCTGAGCAATGCTGGAGATGTAGGGTCTTTCATGACTTTAAGGCAAAAGAGCGTGTTGACTTGCATGATTCTCTCTAGTATGGTTGGAAGCTTCAGTTCTTCCATCATGTTGATGATTCTTGTGCATCTTGGGGCACTAAGAATTATCCTCATGGCTTCATTATGTATTACTTCTAGTTTGTTCAAAACAGAGGCGGTTCCTTGGCACACATGTCTGTCAAATAAATAAAGATCAGTGGCCGGAACATTTACATGCATGACAGGTTTAGTATTGGTCTTAGTAGGTTTAGTCTTAGGTGATTCTAAAATAAAACTCATCACTGAAATCCTACATATAGGAAAAGAAGCACACAATCTAGGGCTGTCAATTGTAACACCCAGGACCTCCCCCCCCCTTAGAGTTCACACCCAGGGAAGCCTTCTCCAAGAGGTCAGCCCAGATGACCTCCGGTTTATCTTGTATGTTGATTAAAAAAAAATTCCTGGGTTAGTCTTAGTCAGCATAGTTTCAAGTATGTAATATTTCATGCAAGGGAATTAGACTCCAGATTCTTATGTGTAAACATCCTTGGATCTTCCCCTTTTGGCCAGGTCAGAGGTCAGTCACACACGTAATTAATAACTCCTCTCTTGAAGAGTGTATGGTGAATGTCAAACAAGCTTATTGAAATATTTCTTGAGTGTTTGTACACGTGTTGCCGATCTTTTACATTCTTGGGGTAGGTAGCAACAGCAGATCTCCCCCCTCCCCCCTGTGGGGGTTGTATATAGAGGTCCTGTAGGGACTTAGTACAGGCAAAGTGCCGGACACCGGGGTCCAGAGAGGGCTGTGAAGAACATCTCAGCCAGGGAGAGACAAAGGTCTTAAGGTACTGTGTGTGATCTCTGAGGTTTTGTTCCATGTCCAAATTTCTTAACTTTTTGCCAGTGTTAGAGTAGGATTTATAAGTGGTGATTGACATAATTTTGGTCGCAATAAACTCATGTTAAACTTCCCGTCTGTGTTAATTGTTGAATCCTCTTAGCCTTTTAGATATAGTGGCTGACAACCATTTTCATAATTAATGACAGTTATAGAAAGTACTCTCCAAGTCAAGCAATGTTTCTTGCCTCGTTGCTTGATATAGTTTCAATGGTCAAAGGCAGATGGTGGCAGCGTATTTAATCCTGTGTTAACATTTCCTTTTTGGCAGTGTACTTTTTAGTTCCGGTGTAACCATCATATGTCAGCTCATAACAGTGTTACCAAGTGCAACCGATGGGGAAGTGTTACTCAGGAAAAGTAGTGTTTACATTATTAGTTTAGTATCCATTATAGTGGCATTACAAATGGTGTTACACAATGACCCTAAATTGGGTCATTGATAGCGAGCAGAAGCGAGTCAAAGGAGTGTAAATAGATAATGATTATGGCTGAGGCAGTTTCAAATGTGGACGAAGGAAGTTAATTAGGTGCAGGGCATGATAATCAACTAGAGATCTAACATTGTATTTTTTTATTAATATATTAGGTACATCTGCATTTGTGCAGCTGCCCTATACTATATGAAGGGGAGTACAGTGTGTCAAAAATCTAGCTACGTGATGCTAAAAAAATCCCCATCACACAGGATGGTTAGTCATACAGAGGCATGTGATAAGTAGTCTGCACTGGCAGACTCTGGGTGCAATATGAGGATATCATCAAGAACACGAGAGTGAATGAAGTAATTGCAAAGCTTTAGGTACCTCATGCCAACGGGTCTGAATGGTCTAATAACTGGGCATTCGGTGATGTAGTGCGGGAGATCATGCTGCAGTTCCTGCTCACAGAGTTTACACCTGGAGTGCTCAGGATTTGGAGATCCGTCATCTGTAGCCACCTGCCACAGGTAATGGTACCCCAACCTGATCCTGACAACCACTGTGTCGCCCACGGGATGGGTATGGGGTTGCATAATAAAGAAAGAAATTGAATTGTCGCACAGTCTGGTGGACATTTTGTGCTGCCCATAGATATAGGTTTCAGATATGAACAAATCATAGCTTTTTATACTGGTGCTTTCAGGTCGTTGGGAGTCAGTAAGTTCTTTCCTATCAGACCTGAGTGTTTGGACCAATACAGTGTTGACAGCAGAGATGGGGATACCTAGATCTAATTCAACTTCATCTTTGTTACACACTAATTTGGCTGCAATGTCTGTCTCATTATGATGGGTTATATTTATGTATGAAGGTATCCATACAAAGGAGATTCGAGACCCTTTACTCTGTGCAGCAATTAGGTCATTTATAATTGGGAGTATGAGGTTCTTGCTGTCGATCTTCCAAGAGAAGTTTTCGATTGCTTGAAGAGCAGACTTTGAATCACAAAATATTATTCCTCCTCCAATGTTTTTTAATGTACTGGTAGCTAGTTGTAATGCTGCTAGTTCTGCTTGTGTGGAGGTCAGCCAGTTGTTTAACCTGAAACTGACCGTCTTTGTGCAACTATTATTTCTATAAAACCTCAATGCTGCTGCAGTCCGTCCAGTAGAGGATTGGACTGAGCCGTCGGTGTAGACACAGTACTCGTGAGATCTTAAATTCTCGATGGAGGAGGCAATTGTTTCAATATATTGTTATGATCACTAAAAACTCTTTGGGAATTGCAACAAATATTTCACACTTGACTACATGAAGTCATTTGGGGTCTATAATTACTAATATATCTTAAAGCATTTACCTTAGGCTGACCCCGACCAGCCTATGTTTGTCCTGTACCCTAGGCCATTCCCCCCTGCAAAGTTCAGTAAGGCATCTGGCATCCATCCTTGAATAGACAGGAATCCTTTCGTACAGTATATATATTAAACAGTATGTCGGAGGTTGAAGGCCAGACACATTGGGCTATCCTCATGGTGATTGCTCTGAGGTATGTGCCCAACATGACTGGGTTGGGACTGGTCCCACAAATGCAATCAAAGGGGGATTGGTCTTTTTGCAATTCTTCCCCTCCCATATGAAATAGGTGAAATGTGGGTGGCAGAGTCTCTAGATTTCTTTAACAAGGACAGTTATAGAAGTTACTGTCAGCCCTGTGCCAGGTCGATGCAACCACTGGGTCGACATGGGCACCAGGTTAGTATAGGCACCAGGTCGAGCCAAACACTTGGTCGACATGGTTACCTGATGAACTTGGTCATTTTGTTTGATATCTTATTTGAAACATGAGCAATGATTGATCAAGACATCTTATTAGTGCTGTATCAGAAAACGTTCAGCAATAAAAATATTTTAATGATTCGCATGAGATCAGTAATAACCCTCGATCTCTTTAAGGGTTTCCTAAGCATCTTTCCTCTCATTCATCTCAAGGACTCTTCGGTTTCCCTGTTCCCCATTCTGATAAGATCTTGAACTGGGGGCTCCAGCTGGGATGGCCAGGATGAAGGACCAGCACTCTAGTTGGGAGGGTCGTGATCCTGGTCTGTGACTTCAGCTGGGATGATCTGGATGAAGGACTTGGACCTCAGCTGGGATGGCCAGGACGAATGATTTTCTCCGGGTGGAACCTTGAGGTCCGGCTGGCTCTCAGGCAAGCCAGGACCTGCATCATTGTCCATGTATAACCTCAGATACAAGAGACCGCTCATCAGACATCAGCGAAGGCGGCGGAGACAATGTGCTCGCAGGAAGGGTAGAACGCCAGAGTGGAAGCGTAGACAGCGGTGAAGATGGCGCTGTCCACCAAGATCCACAACACCTCCAGGATGGCCAGTAGTGATAAGTATCTTCCCACCTCTTCTCCATCACATAGCTAGGAAAAACAGCACATTCCTCTGAATTATAAGAAATATCCTTTTAATATATATTATATATATATAGCAAAAGAGATTTATTATTATATTTTAGAAGCAGTCTTTGTTATGTGTTATTGAGGGTTAGATCAGTGATTCTATCAAGAAACTTTTCTGTATTTTATAAGTTCTTCAGTTGAGAAGAAAGTAGAAAAAATTACCTCACATAAGTTCATTTGATAATCTTACTGGGTTTGATGTGTGACTATAGGACATGTTTTGTGGAAGCTCTTGTCTACATTTGTAGAAGCAGAATTAAAATAAACACAGTAGCATATTTTTCATTATTTGTACCATATAGGATGAGATGAAGTGAGATGTTAATCAGTGTCGACCTGTGGCAGGTATGACGGGAAGTTGCAGTTCTGTATTGGTCTTGAGGATAGTAAGGTGTACTTAAGTGTAAGATGGCTCTTGAGGATTGTTTGAGAGGGAGTGAGATGTAGTGGTTCAGTTTTGTCTAATCTTCTATTGTCGTTATGTCTGTCTTATATATTGGTGTTGTTGGTCAGGATGTGTCTGAAGATGGTCTAGTTATGTGTACAAACGAGGTGATCTTTTATTGAACTTCGTTGTCTGCACATTGTCAGGCGACTTGAAAAATATGTTGTCTTTGCATCTAGATCGCTGGGGTTGACATTCGTTAAGTGGGCATGTGAATGTATAACTTAAGACACACTTTAAAGGCATTAAGCTTGGTGTCACGAGTGTTCTTCATGAACAAGTTCTACTAGGCCTTAAGTTAAGTTTCATTTAATTATGTTCTCACCTTAGTTATCTGAATCCTGATAGATATTGAGGGAAGTGTGGTTGGCACAAGAATAAACACTAACGGAACCCACCACTGGCTAGTGGCAGTAACCAGTCCAAAGCTTAAGTCTTTGAAGAAAATCAGAAGAACTGATCCTGCACCAATTACACAATCATGAATAGTGAGTCTGTGAAAAATTGGCGTAGCTATCAGCAGTACCAACACTTCAGTGACCATGCTCACGGTTGCGTACGGGCTGAACTGGTCCTCATCCCATTCGAACACTCTACGAGTCCATAGGTACATGTTATGTGGTATACAACTGATGTAGCCAAGCATGAGCAACATCAGAAGTAGAAGATGAAGTCGTGTCCTGCCAGGCCGCCTCCTTCTGACAACTCGAAATAAACTGATGATATTCATTTGGTTCCATAGACTTGTCTCATTCTCTGTCCCATTCAACTGAACTCTTTTGTCTTTAACTATAAAAAAAGCCAAAACAAGTGCTATACTATAAAGAAGGAGAGACGTACTGAAGACTGAAACATATCCTCCAATGTCAAAGATCCAGACTCCTATGACTGTACCAACTGGTCCTCTGAGAAACCAAAATACTTTCATTAAGGTCATACGAACAGTTTTGCACTGTTGGCTAGTGTTGTCTGCCACGTAACTGTAGGAAGCCATAGTGAGCATCATGGCACCTCCACCCATGCTCTCAAGGACTGACGCCAACAGGAGGACGTAAGGCGGCCAGGACGTGAAGAACGCCTCCAGGAGATAGATGATGCTATAGAATACTTCTCCAATTAATGGTAGAAGTATGGGGACACGACGCCCTCGCTTGTCGCTCCAGGAGGCGACGAAGGATAGCAGCAAGATTGGGATGATTGTGCTCGCTAACTTCTCATAAAAAGTGAGGACACTGTCGAGCTGCTGAGCTTTCACTTGCAGGTCTGCGTGTTGACCGTCGTTCAAGTGAGCACATTCCTCGGCGGGATGCTTCAGTGTCACATTACAGAACCGCTCAAGCTTCAGGTTGTCTTTAATTACCAATTGTACATAAAGTGCAGTATACTGTAAGAACAATACGGGTTCTATAGTGATGGTTATGAGAGCACCAAGAGCCACCTTCTGGAGGTGTGGTATACAGCGTCCACCTGTCATGGCGTCCACCTGTCATGGCGTCCACCTGTCATGGCGTCCACCTGTCATGGCGTCCACCTGTCATGGCGTCCACCTGTCATGGCGTCCACACTCACACTAGATTATCTCGGTGAACACCAACGGCCTCAAACTCTCGCCGTGGAAACCATACCGTGATAATGCACCTGACGCTCAATATTTAGATAAAAATGTTCACCTGATTTCATTTGTTTATAACAAATTTATTTAAATTAAGGATTCCTAGTTTTTTTCAGCAAAATAATCTGAAGGCTCTACTATTTGCTGGTTATGACAAATCTGTCGTACATCTGTAGTAGATCATTTGTTTATGATTGTTCGAGCCGTGGACCAGTGGACCAAGCTCTCACAAGTCAAGCCTGGCCTCGGGCCGGGCTTGGGGAGTACAAGTACTCCCAGAACCCCATCAACCAGGTATCAAACAGGGCTCTTGTAAATGGACCACTTTGGGGCCCCCTTTACAAGAGCCTTTGTGTTCTTTCTTGGTTCTACCTTTAGAGGCCCCTTAGTATTCCATTCTTGGTTCTACCTTTAGAGTCCCCCCTTAGTCTCCTCTCTAACTTTATGAAAATAGGACGTTGTATTAATGCCAATATTTCTAAAAGCTTTTCCCCTTGAGATTTCCCTTTTCCCCCCATGCTCAAATGACTAGATGTACGTCATTTTGTCTGCTGGCCATGAGACTAAATTATTGCACTCACCCAACACATCAAGTTAACTTATAATTACCCATTTAATCAACAAATCGTCTGGAATCACGTTTCTGACATTATTTAATGAGATTGCTATATAGTAAATTCCTAGAGACAGGCAAGCATGTCCGTCATCGCGTGTGACCGATGAATCACATGATATTTAAGTCATCGTTCTTCAATTTTGGGGAACAGACATTGCCAACGGTCATCTAGAAACGGAGGAGCCATGTTTTGTATTCAGGGGAAGAAAACAGCGCCTGTGAAGTGTATTTTTAGGCATTTTGTAATGTGTTCCTGACTGCTGGAATTCCAGTCGCCTTTTCTGACATCACCAATCATCATCCTAACTCTCTTACCAGTAAATTTCCTGTGAATTTTTTTTATCCCAGACATGTGCATCGGCGAAAGAGAAGAGCATGTGATCTGTACAGCGTGCTTGAGACGTGTGCAGCGTGATAGGTCATCAGCAAATGTGACAACTTGATGAACCGCCTGAATGAATGAGTAAAGTAGTGAATGAGTCATGAGGCCGCGTATTGTAAATACTCAACTTTGATTTGAATCTCAAGGGTTTTATTTTGTTGCCTGCATGTAGATCCTTGTGATTTAGCAGTCGTCTTGCCCAGCTAATACCTGTAACAAGTGTGGGTTGAAGACACGATCCACTGTCAGTGAACACTTGAATTACCTGTGTGGAATTATCTATGTGGAATTCTCACAAAACTTTAAGTATCGCTCGGAAGCGATGACCGTCTAAGTGACGTACAGCACACATTTTAGTAAAGTATATAATTGTGTATGTTATCTTTATGACCCATTGATATATTTGATACTGGCTCATTGAACATGCTAATGTGATTCCGCATATCAAACTGAGCTCCACATTTTTTCCTTTTGAAATACCGGCAGTGATAGGAAGCTGAGTTAAGTGATTGGTTGATCATTGACAATGTTAAGTGAGTTTCGTTTTCCATAGAAAACCACAATCAGTAGGTTAAGACAGCCACATGTCTCTCTGATGGGATTAACTTTTATATAACACCAAACAAAAATAATTAGATCCCCTCCAAAGTGTAATAATAATTAACATAGTTTATAAATACCTGTTAATTGTTATTATTAACGTTTTGGTGAAGCCTTCATCCTTAACAAATTGCTACTGACTTTGGGTTGATCCAGAAATACCATTAGTATTAGTCGCAAATAATAATGTGATGAGGACCTACTAACGAGGCCCGTCTCGACAACCATCCCTGGGGACCTACTAACGAGGCCCGTCTCGACAACCATCCCTGGGGACCTACTAACGAGGCCCGTCTCGACAACCATCCCTGGGGACCTACTAACGAGGCCCGTCTCGACAACCATCCCTGGGGACCTACTAACGAGGCCCGTCTCGACAACCATCCCTGGCATGTCTACTCTCGTATTTTCTCCTACAATAGCAAAAGCCATTTGTTTACATCTTGAAAAGTAAAGATAAATAATGTTGACCAAACCACACACACTAGAAAGTGAAGGGACGACGACGTTTCGGTCCGTCCTGGACCATTCTCAAGTCGATTCTCAAGTAAAAAAATCGACTTGAGAATGGTCCAGGACGGACCGATACGTCGTCGTCCCTTCACTTTCTAGTGTGTAGTTTGGTGAACATATTTCAGCCACGTTATTGTGACTCCTCGTCTGCACAAAGATGAATAAGCATGTCACAGCATGGTTTTACCATCTGCCTGTTGTTGACTACCTATTGTGGTCTCCGGGGATCAACGTCCTTGCGGCCCGGTCTCTGACCAGGCCTGGTTGATGGTCTGCTCAGCCAGGCATTTGAACGCAGCTCATGTTTAACAAATATACTTTAATTCTTTTCCAGTATATAATTATATTGATTAAGCATTACAACATTTTATATCTAAAGTTTAGAAAGGACTTTGATACTATGCCTCACGAGAGACATTAAAAATCATGGCGGCCGGCGGTATTGTGGAGGTTTTCCTAAGCTGGTTTAGAGCTTCATTATTTTAAAGAAAGCAGAGCATAATTGGTGGTAATTGTGAGTGGGAGACCATCATCAGTGGTGTGGCCAGGACTCTCTCTGGGGTTCTCTAGTCTTTACTATACATATGAACGACACAGGAATGAAAAAGCAACACTTTCAAACCTGCGGATGATAGGTTTGGATCGTACATAAATTCAGAAGACACAAAATCGGTATAGGACGATTTTATAAGACTAGTAACAGGCAGCAGCTTTGTACACGACTATACCAACAAAGACAAAATTATTTAATCAGAGAGGTTAAAGAAGTAGAGCAGAAGCTGAAGCAATCATACCACGCTGAAGAAATAGAGTTGGAGCAGAATGTCACAAAAAGATTAATAAAAATCCAAAATATTTCTTTACATATGTGAAATCAAAAGCGAGAGCCTCCACCAGCAGTGGACCTTTACTTACAAGTGAAGAATAAAAAATCTTCAAGACAACTTCTATGTTCAAAAGCATCTCAAAAGTGGAGGATCAGAACAGTTTATGAATGATACCCAAACACGTGAAAATATAACTGATATCAACAAGAACATTGCAGATTTTGAAAGAGAAATTTACTACTTGCCCATGCACTCAGCCCCATGTCCTAACACCTGGGATTCAATATTCATTAAGAAATGGAAAGTAGCAGTAGTGCGAGCGCTTAGCGTAGTATGGAGAAAGAGCATGGATACAGGGCAGATTCTAAAAGCACTTAAATCTGCAAATATAGCACCACTACATAAGGGAGGTAGTAAAGCTTTGGCATAAATCAGTAACAATAACATCATACATAACAAAGGTTTTTGAACGCGTGATTAGGAATCGAAATCTCCAGTTTTATGCAGATCAATGAACTTTACAACCCAGGTCAACATATATTTAGAGCGGGAAGATCCTGTCTTTTGCAATTATTCAACAACTATGACAAAATCACGGAGGAATTAATAGAAAAACAAAATGAAGATGCATATACAGACTTTTCAAAGGTTTTTGGTAAGTGTAACTATTGAGTGATATGCCATAAAACGAGATCAATAGGAATAATGAGTAAAGTAGGGCGTTAGATTTTAAATTTTCTGTCAATAAGAATGCAAATAGTAACATTCAAAAAAGTTCAAGTCCTAGTGCAGTGAAATGCTGTGCCACAGTCGTTGTACCGTTGCTATTTCTCATTCTTATCTCGGATATAGACAAAAATATTAGTCACAGCTTCATGTTATTCTTTGCAAAGATACAAAAATCAGCATGAAAATTTCCTGTAAAAGACACTGAAAAACTACAGGCAGATATTAATTAAAGTCTTCGATTGAGCAACGGAAAATATCATGATGTTTAACAGTGACAAGTTCCAGGTACTGAGGTATGATGGAAACAAGGAATGTAAACGAAATTCAAAGTACAGGACACAATCAGACTTACTCATAGAAGGAAAATACTCTGTGAAAGATCTGGGAATTATGATGTCTGACGACTTAACATTTAATGAACATAATCGAGCAAATAATCCGGCGGTCAAGAAAATGACAGGATGGATCATGAGAATGTTCCTAAATGTGGAGGTTCCAGGAATCAAAGACCCGCCGTAACCAGGCTGTGATGGGTATGTGGGCCTGCGGGCCGCTCCAAGCAACAGCCTGGTGGACCAAACTCTCACAAGTCAAGCCTGGCCCCGGGCCGGGCTTGGGGAGTAGAAGAACTCCCAGAACCCCATCAACCAGGTATCAGGCAGGTACCTAGTGGCCCTGTTTCATACCAGGCTTCCCGGGTTGGTAGTTTGGTGAACCAGGCTGCGAGCAGCTTAGACCTCTTAGCTCTGGCACTTACCTTATTACAAACCTCTGTACTTTTTCAATTTTTGGCTTTATGCTTCACAAGGTGTGGATCCCATACTGGTGATGCATATTCCGGTATTGGTCAAACAAATGTTGTGTAAATTTCATTGAAAGAGTTCTGATTCAAGTTCATAAAATATGTTTTTATATTTGGCAGCGTCACATATGCTACTGATGTTATTCTGTTTATTTGTGCTTCCGGTGTGTCGGAATTATATCCACTCCCAGATCCTTCTCTCCTGATTCCTGTAGCTGCCTTCCCCGTATGGTGTAGATGCCTTCTGGTCTCATTTCTCCCTTTCCCATTCTCATTACCTTACACTCGTTGGAACTGATTTCCGGCAACCATTTGTCTGACCACTTCTAGAGTTTGTCAAGGTGTAGCTGTAACTTTCTGCAGTCCTCATCTGTTTTCACGTTCCTCGTCAGCTTTGCATCATCTGCAAACATTGACATGTCTAAGCTCATTCCCTCGGGTAGATCGTTCACGTAAATTAGGAACAGCAGCGGTCCCAGAACAAAGCATTGTGGGACCCCACTTGTTACATTCCTCCTGCTTGAAACCTTCTCTCTGACTGTGACTCGACTTTCTGTCCTTCAGATACTCCCTTACCCAGTCCAGTGTTTTCCCAGTTATCCCAGCCTGGTTCCCCATCTTGTACAGCAGTCTTTCACGGGGAACAGATGTCTTTTGACAGTCTAGACAAATACAGCGACATACATACACTCAATAAAGCACCTAAATTATTGGGATCGTCTCAAATCTCTCCAAATGTATTCCCAACAAAGGAGACGAGAGAGATATAAAATAATATACACGTAGGGCCAGGTCCCAAATCGACACAGTAAAATAACAACATACCGGAGTGAACGATATGGAAGAAAATGCAGAATAGAACCAGTGATGAGCAGAGGTGCCACAGGCACAGAGAACACTGTGTGGACGTCCATCAGACGTCCATGGTTGTGCAACACATTGTTCTACATACTCCCACTGAGTATAAGAAATATTGTTGGAAATATTGCGGTTCCCCATGTAGTATAACATAATTAAATCTGAGATTCTTCATCCTCGGCGAAAATTGTATTCGGGTGGAATTACACGACACATTTGTTCAATTATAAACTAAAATGTAGGACTAAGGATATTTATCCCTAGTTGCATCATGCTCAATTAACTATCTTATATAAGCTTTACAATAATCAGAAAAGTAACACAATATTCATAACTGGTTGTATCCTGCCGTGAATTTTTCTAATGGTCGCTGAACGTCAATAAATATGTTATTTATTTTATGTTTATTTTATGTTCAAGAATGTACATTGGGTTGTGAGAGAGTATATAATGTCGGTCGTCTTACATTCTTCCGAAGCCACTAACACGCATAGCGTTCCGGCCAGTTAATATCGCATAAGGTTGTTCCAGTGTAAGGTATTCTTCCTCCCCCAGGGTCAGTTATTTCCCCAGGGTAAGTTATTCCCCCAGGGTAAGTTATTCCCCCAGGGTAAGTTATTCCCCCAGGGTAAGTTATTCCCCCAGGGTAAGTTATTCCCCCAGGGTAAGTTATTCCCCCAGGGTAAGTTATTCCCCCCAGAGTAAGTTATTCCCCCCAGAGTAAGTTATTCCCCCCAGGGTAAGTTATTCCCCCCAGGGTCAGTTATTCCCCTCAGAGTAAGTTATTCCCCCCAGGGTAAGTTATTCCCCCCAGAGTAAGTTATTCTCCCCAGGGTAAGTTATTCCCCCAGGGTAAGTTATTCCCCCCAGGGTAAGTTATTCCCCCCAGAGTAAGTTATTCTCTCCAGGGTAAGTTATTCCCCCAGAGTAAGTTATTCCCCCCAGGGTAAGTTATTTCCCCAGGGTCAGTTATTCTCACCAGGGTAAGTTATTCCCTGCAGGGTCAGTTATTTTCTCCAGGGTAAGTTATTCCCCCCAGGGTAAGTTATTCCCCCCCTGGATAAGTTATTCCCTCCAGGGTCAGTTATTCTCTCCAGGGTAAGTTATTCCCTCCAGGGTAAGTTATTCCCCCCAGGGTAAGTTATTCCCCCCAGGGTAAGTTATTCCCCCCAGGGTAAGTTATTCCCCCCAGAGTAAGTTATTCTCTCCAGGGTAAGTTATTCCCCCAGAGTAAGTTATTCCCCCCAGGGTAAGTTATTTCCCCAGGGTCAGTTATTCTCACCAGGGTAAGTTATTCCGTCCAGGGTCAGTTATTCTCTCCAGGGTAAGTTATTCCCTCCAGGGTAAGTTATTCCCCCCAGGGTAAGTTATTCCCCCAGGGTAAGTTATTCCCTCCAGGGTAAGTTATTCCCCCCAGGGTAAGTTATTCCCTCCAGGGTAAGTTATTTCCCCCAGGGTAAGTTATTCCCCTCAGGGTAAGTTATTCACCCAGGGTAAGTTATTCCCCCAGGGGTAAGTTATTCCTATCCTTGAAAAGAGGTATACTGTAACTGAAGACAGGCAGAGCCCATGCCGCTACTCAAGGCAGATGTAAAATTACAGATTTCTTTAGGATTTCACACCAGTTCCAGCAGTTCCCTGGACGATGGTCGTCTAACTACGCACGACAATGGTTCCTCCCCCGCCCACGGCTTTTCCTGCGTGAAATATAACAATGCTACCTGCCACCGTGCGCGTTCCCTGGCATAACCAAGGCTTGGCTTGTAACCAGGCCTCGTCCCTGGCATAACTAAGGCTTGGCTTGCAACCGAACCAAGGCTTGACTTGCAACCAGCCCTCGTCTCTGGCATAACCAAGGCTTGGATTGCAACCAGCCCTCGTCTCTGGCATAACCAAGGCTTGGATTGCAACCAGCCCTCGTCCCTGGCATAACCAAGGCTTGGCTTGCAACCAGCCCTCGTCCCTACATTGATCGCAGACTTCGATTTAATCGTCTACAATTGCTGCAACAGACTATTCCTCCAAATCTTTAACTGACCACTTAACTTTAAATAAGTTCTGCTAACCTAATGTGAAGCCATTTCAGCAATTATTAAACAGGTATATAAATATATACAGAGACAAATCACATTATCCTATACATAAATTATATTTCACCATTAAATATCCTTCTGCAAAGATATGTACTCACCTAGTTGTGCTTGCGGGGGTTGAGCTTTGGCTCTTTGGTCCCGCCTCTCAACCGTCAATCAACTGGAAATATGTAAGAGAAAACTTCATGATTCTTCAAGACGCTGCTTTACGCTCTCTGAGCCACACCAAGTGACATCATTCACCACCTCCAGACCTATAGGACTATATCCTTATTACTACTACCTGGTCAAGTCCCACTTGACCTACACCATATCTTGCCGTGCTTAACGCCCGGCGTCGCTAGCGCCTTGTGCCTAAAAGCACCAAACCCTAATGAATACGTCACTACCAATTACACCATTACAACACCGTTCTTATGCGCCTCTAAGGCATTGCTCTTGACAACCTCAACGGCGCTTAAACTCTTTATCACAAACAACGCGTTAATCTTATGACCCTTTTCACGTACAGTTACTGAGTTAATTAAGTTTTCACTAGCATAAGAAGCATTAAAAGCTTTATACTGAGCATTCCTCAACATTATATTCAATTTACGAAGAAAATGCTACAAATTAATTAAAACATAAAAAATTAGCATTACCTATTACCTAAAATGGATCCTGTTCCGTTTTCTATTTGTCCCCACATCTGACCACACCGTAACTCGTCCAAATGTTGTAATTCATTTTCTTTAAAAGATTAATGCTTAAAGTTTTTAATTTACTTTAAATTACGTAGTTTTTCACGCTCTTACTTTAGCAATAGTTGGTCAATATTGCCACCACTCGAATGATATACACGACACCCTGTGAGCATACCTCTTAACCTGCCAATCACTTGGCAGGTTAACACATGTGCCGTACCACATGTGCCGCACACATGTGCCGTACCACACATGTGCCGTACCACACATGTGCCGTACCACACATGTGCCGTACCACATGTGCCGCACACATGTGCCGTACCACACATGTGCCGTACCACACGGCCCACACCACATGGCCCGCATCGGCCAATGCTTAACCGCGCAGATTACCGTGGTAATTTTGACTAATAGATACTTACTATAATTCGCTCTACGCACACTGCGCTCTATGTTGAGTCAGATTAATCACTGTCCTTCCTCTTGACATCTCTCGATGTTGTAATCTTTAAAGAATATCTAAAGACCCCACGTGGCCAACAATGGCCTATCCCCTGTACCTCCATCTCGTCCCTCTGGCGTGTTATTCTTCTCGCCTAACATGCCTTGCATCTGAAGAAACCACAATGGCGTGATACATCAATATCACGCCATTGTGATATTTGTGTATTATCAATTTGTGATCTGAGTGAGGCGTGAGAGTGTGGTCGCCATTAGCGTTATCTTGAGATGATTTCGGGGCTTAGCGTCCCCGCAGCCCGGTTCTCGACCAGACCCTAGGCCAGAGTGTGGGTCGACTGTTGAACGCTGGTTGGACTTCAGTTTGGGGCCTCCAGAATCTACCAGTGAATTCAGTAGAGTTCCAGGTTGGTCGACTTTTGCACAATCATACCTTGCGATGATTTCGGGCTCAACGTCCCCGCGGTCCGGTCCTCGACCAGACCTCCTGGTTGTTGGACTGATCAACCAGGCTGTTGGACGTGGCTGCTCGCAGCCTGACGTATGAATCACAGCCTGGTTGATCAGGTATCCTTTGGAGGTGTTTATCAAGTTCTCTCTTGAACACTGTGAGGGGTCGGCCAGTTATGTCCCTTATGTGTAGTGGAAGCGTGTTGAACAGTCTCGGGCCTCTGATGTTGATAGTTCTCTGTTGAACACTGTGAGGGGTCGGCCAGTTATGTCCCTTATGTTTAGTGGAAGCGTGTTGAACAATCTCGGCTCTTTAATGTTGATAGAGTTCTCTCTCAGAATACTGTTGTACCTCTGCTCTTCAACGGGGGTATTTTGCACATCCTGCCATGCCTTCTGGTCTCATGTGGTGTTATTTCTGTGTGCAGGTTTGGGACCAGCCCCTCTACTATTTTCCACGTGTAAATTATTATGATATATATATATATATATATATATATATATATATATATATATATATATATATATATATATATTGTGACGGTAACGCGTTGGTGTTCGGCTGTTTAAGGCTAGGGGTATGGCCTCGTCACATAGTTTATAAAAAAAAATAGAAAAACTGGAACTTCGTCTGTGGTAAGGTAAGGAGAAGACACACAAAACACAAGTAAATTTTAACAATGAAATTTTAATTACGTTAAATAAATCAAAACATGAATAAAATGGACAAACAAATTCGTATAATAAAATCAATCAATCAAAATAATAAGAATAATTAAATGACACAATGAAAAGTTACGTTAAGACAAAATAACAAGAAGTGCAATACAAAAATAAAGGTAAGGTGCTGGAATATTGGCTTTAAGCTACCACCTCTCTCAGTACACGCTAACGTCTAGCCGGGAGAAGTGTTAACCGTGGAAGCACTGAATATTCTGAGGTCTGAGGTCGTGGCGACCCCAGACATCAAGTAGTATGGGGGGGGGGGCGAGTGCAGTTGCAGCCAGACCGGCGACCAATCAGCGGAGCCGGTAGTAAGACAGGTAGTTTGGCGGTTTGAGTCTGAGCAGGTGTCTCTGGCTGCATACGTTTTGCTCGCTGGCAAACCTTGCTGGTGTTGTTGTCGTTGTTGGACATTTCTTCCATAGTAGTTATATATATTTGTTGCGACGTATTTGTGGAGGGAAGAGCAGGCTCAATCTCTTGAAGGAGATTATCGTCACAACTCTCCCCCGAAGCCTGCGGTTCTGGAAGAAGTACGTCGTTATGTGGTGGAGTAATGGATGGAGTCGCTTCTACTTCATAAACTCTGGAGAGATCATGGGCTAAGATGTTGTCAGACTCTTGGTATAGCGTGTCTCCAGGTTGAATTTCTGCAGTTAGCAAGCCCATAGTAGAAGACGTTGAGATGAGAAGTGGGCGTGCTGCAGGAGGTGTAGGGTGGTGTGGTCCGTATTGATGGTGGACCGAGCACTTTTCAGGTGTGGAGTGAAGTGCTGAAGCTTCAGGATGAGGAAGAGTAGCTCCTTGCCAATTGTTCCGTAGTTCCTTGTAGCAGTAGTCGCTGACAGGTGTATTCTTCTCGCCTCGTTGCTGCATCACGACACCACCAACGTCGGTACCATTGGCGTCGACATGGAGGATGAAGGGCTTATCTGACGAGGTGAGAGTGGAATTAGAAGAGGGCAAAGGAGCACGATTATTATCCTGAAAGCATTTGGGAAGATCATTAAGGATTTCGGAATTAGAAAGCGCTGACTCCTTGTCAGTGCTTTCGGGAGGAGAAGCTGGGATGGTCTCACTGTGGATGTAGGGTTCTGTGAAGGTGGAATAGTTAGTCAGGACAGTGGGAGGAGTACCATTATATTGCTTCAGGAGGTTGACGTGGCACAGCTGGGTCTTCCGCCGCCTATCTGGAGTCTCTATTACGTAGTTGTTATTATTCCTGCACTCTTTGACGCAGTAGGGTCCTGAAAACCTGTTTTGTAAAGGTGAACCTGGGATAGGGAAATATGCAAGGACGAAGTCTCCCGGCTTGAATTTTCTTACTTTGCTGGTCTGGTCATAATGAGTCTTCATTCTCTCCTGGGCTTTCAATAGATTATCATGGGCAAAACGGTGGACTCTCTCTAGAATGTGTTGAAGGTTTTGAAGAAACTGGGGCACATTCTGATGCTCACTGAAGGTGGCATCTCGGAGAGAGTCTTTGAAAGCCTTAAGGGGAGTACGGCACTTACGGCCGTAGAGCATCTCATAAGGAGATACTCCTAGGGACTCATTGGGGAGACTTCTGAAAATACACATTATAAGGTCAATCTGCTTATCCCAATCCTTCGAGGTTTCACTACAAAACTTTTTCAAGAGTGCTTTGATGGTCTGATGACTACGTTCAAGAGAACCCTGTGAAGCAGGATGATAGGGGCTGGACAATACCTGTTTGATGTTGAACTCCTCCAGTGTCCTTTTGAAGAGATCACTGGTGAAGTTGGTACCACAGTCACTTTGAATCTCCCTGGGAAATCCGTATTGAGTGAAGATCTTCAATAGATGTTTTATAACCGTAGCAGCCGTGATGTTCTTCACTGGAACTGCTATGGGAAATCTGGTGGTAGGACACAGGATGGTTAGGATGTAGGCGTTACCTGAACTGGTCCGAGGTAAAGGACCAACACAGTCTATTATGAGTCTGTGGAAAGGTTCCGCAGGCACCTGTATGGGAATCAGTGGCGCTCTGGGAATGGAGATGTTCGGTTTGCCTGCCATCTGACATGTATGACACTGTTTTACGTACTGTTTGACGTTATTTACCATACCTGGCCAGTAGTAGTCTTGACGAATCCCATGGTAAGTCTTGTTGAAGCCGTAGTGGGAGAATGCTCCGTGGGCCAGGTGTAGAATAGTGGGCCGCAGGCTGGTGGGAATCACAAGTTGTTCGATGTTGGCCCAATCGTCCTCCTCCTTCAGTTTACTGGGTCTATATCTGCGGTAGAGCAAGTCGTTCTCTAGGAAGAACCCAGGAATACTGTCGGGTTGAGTCTCAGCCTGGAAAAACAATGGTGTTAAAGTAAGATCTTCCCTCTGCAACTTACGGAACTCCAACTTGGTCAGATGCGGGGGGAGTTTCTGAGGGTCTTGAGGGACAGCGGTAGCAGTAGAGTCAGCTGGCTGTGGACGTGCGGCTTGTGCACGGGTGGTCACGAGAACCGGAGGAGAAACTTCATCACTCTCTTGAACCTCTGCTGGAACATACTCTAGAATAGGGTTACTTGGCACAGAGTTACACACCTGGGGTTTGTCCATGACGATCAGGTTGGTCGGTTGCAGGTCTTCTGCCAAGTCGTTGCCTAGGAGAAGTTGCACTCCAGGCATGGGAAAAGGCTTTTCCCTGACGGCGACTTGGACTTCCCCGTTCACGTAGGGACAATCCAGGTGGACTCTGGCGAGAGGGTATGGAGTGGTAGCAGTGAGGTCAGTGATGAAGACAGTTTCTCCGGTGTAGGTGATGTTGGGCACAGCCGACTTCAAGATGATCGATTGTAGAGCCGCTGTGTCCCTCAAGATCTTCAATTTGAAACGTCCCTCCGGATTTGAACCGTTGGCAGAGACAGTTCCAGTATACAGGTGGTTACTGAAAAGAGAAAGATCATTAACATCAACACCAACATTCATCACAGGCTTACCGGACTTAGGAGGAGTTGGTTTGGGTTTTTGTTGGTCAGTGATTCCCTTGTATTGAGACTTACCACACTTGTCTATGGTATGTCCATAGAGTCTACAATACTTGCAGTACAGTTGTGAACCAGCTTGATCGGGGCTCACCTTCTCGTAACTGTACCACGACTTCTTACTGGAGGATGGTTCGGGTGTCAGCCGGTGGATGAGGCTGTAAGTGTCAGCCGACTTAGCACACTTCAGGTAGTCGGTTTCTTCTTTATCTGCTAAGTAGAGGCGGACAGGAGGCGGCACACGTCTCAAGAATTCTTCAACAAGCATCAGGTTGACGAGTTCTGTAA